AGAGGCTGCGGTAGTGAAGTGATTTTTTGTGTTCTATTGTAGTATTTGCATATGCAGTTTTCAGTCAAGTGAAGACTGTACTCGAATGCGTGTCTTGGTGGGGCAGCATCAGTACTCTTGCAGATGTCAAGGTGTAGCAGCATGCTCAGACTGGATCCATATGTCATGCTGGCTGTGATGACCTCTTGAGACACACTGGCATGAGGATGAGCAGCAAAACATGAGGTGCTTCACATGGAACTATTGAACTCTGCCTTTCTCCCTCAAGATCCTCCCCACAGCAAGCATGTCACCTGGAAATAAATTGCTGTGCAGCATCAAGTGCTTATTCATTTTATCTTATTTTTTTAATCAACTAATGTACCATCTGTCTTGACTTTTTACAGGTTGTTATTACATGTATTGGAGCTTTCTATCATTTTACTACCTTGTTGTAATGTACCATGTACTGATATGAAAACCTTGAGATTATTTTAAATTCTGAAGGTGGTAGAAATACCCAAAAATCAGTCATATGACCCCAAAAAAATGTGTCTTTACATTTTTAATTCATCATGGTTCTGAGTTCAACCATTCATCAGTCTGCTTCCTTTTAGTCCAGCCAGGAAATGCATCGATGTTGAAGTATCCAAGTTTATCCATTAATTCTTCCAGCACATGAGCTTTCTGATTGTTTGTCTGAAAGGGAGATGGAGCTTCCTGACACCATGAAATATGTGTTGATGTTTGGGTGCTCTTCCATGTCTTTATCCAAAACTGAGACCATGGTTACCAGCTGTGAGATACGGACTATCCTATTATGTGTAACAGAATTTTATATTTATATTTGGATATAAATATAAATAGGTGTGTATAAAAAAATGTGTATTTTATGTCTGTATGTGTCTCTGCATGAAATATATATTCTGATTATGATCAGTGATTGAAGGTGTCAGCTAAAATTACTGTTGTTTTGGGGGCTTTCTCCCCTAAATGGTAGCTCTGTAATCTGTTTCCAGGACATAGTTTCCCAGATTTTCCAAGTTTTGCCGTGACCCAGACCAGCACACTTCAATTCCTTTCTGCTTTCAGATTGCTTACATAGCAAATGTGGTAGACGTTTTTTAATAGTAATCAGATGAGATGCATTTCATTATGAATTAAATTGCGCATAGAGAATACACAATCTAGAGTATTACAGGTCCATTCAGTAGGTTAGAACACACTAGCAGTATATACGTTTAATTTCAAGAGTTCTGAGCAGCCTTTACAATGCCTTGGAGTTTCTTATTGTTTCAAAGATATAACTGTAATGTCTGCTGGTAAGCCATGACTTCTTATGGTACTATAGTGACTGGTTATAGCAAGATGAAAACCACATTAAAATGGACTTTTTACACTGTTGTAATAAATACTAGCAGATTATGTAAGATCATAGAATGGTTGGGACTGAAAGATGAGGATGCCCAAAGCCGTTCTTTCCTCTGAAGAAAGCTGAGCAAGAAAGGGCAAGAATGCAGCTGCCTTCTTGAGTGCATCGTGTTGTGCTGTCTGTGAGACCCAGAGCAGGAAGCTGTGGTCTCGGTGGAGCGAGGGCTGGGTGCTGGAAAGAGCACAGACAGTTTCCTTGGTTGATCTAACTTCAGCTGAACAATAAGAGACATGGCTGCTGCAGAAGTGACCCACCTGTTTCTGCAGTTTTAGAAAGGTACAGTAAAATCAAACCTTGTTTTGTATCATCATGCAAACTTATTTCAGAAGCACTAACAGCATTTATTTCTGCTTTATTGACACCTGCATAAATGCCGCTGCTTTTTTTTTCTCCTCCCAGTTGACCCACTCTATGATGATCCAATCTGTAGTCTGAACTGCTGGTTGTATTCTAGGGGCTTGTCACAGCTGCAGGAGGTGCTGAGGAAGGCTGTCAGGCTTGCTGGTAGTTTGGCCTCAGAATAGCAATTCCTAGGTTTAGTGGTTGCCATTCACAGTCGTCAGTTCACCAGATAAGGTTTGCTGGAGAATGATAGAATCACAGAATGGTTTGGATTGGGAGGGACATTAAAGCTCACCCATTTCCAACCCCCTGCCATGGGCACGGACATCTTTCACTTGACCAGGTTGCTCCAAGCCCCATCCAACCTGGCCTTGAACACTGCCAGGGATGGGACAGCCACAACTTCTCTGGGCACCCTGTGCCAGTGCCTCACCACCCTCACAGTGAAGAGTTTTTTCCTAGTATCTAATCTGAATCTCCCCTCCTTCAGTTTAAAGCCATTCCCTTTGGCCTGTTGCTACTTGCTTTTATAAAATGTCCCTCTCCAGATTTCTTATAGGCCCCCTTTAGACACTGGAGCTGCTCTAAGGTATTTCTGGAGCTTTCTCCAGGTGGAACAAGCCCAACTCTCTCAGCCAGCTTGTCCTGTTTCAAGACAAGTTTTGATCAGTACCAACACACAGCACAACCTACCCTCTTCTGCAGTGTGTTGTGTCCTGCAGGCCTTACACAAACTCTCAACAGGCAAACTAATCCTAGAGCTGGATGATCTGAGTGATTTGGATGCCAACCCAAACCGTTCTATGTTCCTGTGATTCTAAACTGAATTTCTGCTTGGGTGGTGGGGCTGGCCCATTCAAGTGTTGTGAGTTAATGAGCTTCAGAGTACCTCTGTGAGGCAGGGAATTGCATTTTATTTTTATGTAGGGCGCAAACATAAAGATAACACACTCAAAAGCTTGCTACCAAGCTTTGGTGTGGACCATAGATGGATCCTGATGGTTACTTTCCTGCTGTTACTGGTAAACCATTCCTTAAAAATTTGTGGGTAAAAATAGAGTCTGGCAGCTTGTAATTGCAATGTGATCTCCCAACAATCCCCTCTCCTTGTGGTCCCCCCTGGGAGCAGAGGTGCAGATCTAGCGGCTGGTCATCACCTTTGACTGTTGCCTGTAATGTTTGACTAAAGCTGATTGAAATGGTTTCTGGCTGTCTGGAACAAAGCTTCACTTCCAGCAGAGGTATGTTCCTAGTGCACTTACACAGCTGGCAACAAACACCCCGCCTGCCTAACAGCATTCCGGGAAAACCAGCAAACCTGTGTCCAAAACTGCAAAAGAAGGGGTTTTAATGGACAAATACCCCATTTGACCAGCTGGATGCAGAGGCTTGGCAAAAGGCTCTTCCTATGCTGTTACCATTGCTATGTGAAGGGAGATGGTGGTGGTGTAGTTTACCAGAATGAATGGAAGCCACTGCTTGGAGCGATGAGAAAATGAGTACTGTTTGGTTTGACAAGTAGTGGGGAGGGATTGGCACTGGGGTGGTCTGGCTTGGATTCATGCTTCCATAGCAAGGGTATGACCAGTGCAATGACTCCCGTACCCAGGTTGGTTTATGTGTACTTAGCAGGTCTCATGTGTTTGCCCAGTTCAGAAGGGCCATTTCAGTACTGCTGTCAAGAACAGCACACACTATTCTATTTCCAAAACAATTTCACCCAAAGACTATAATTTTAAATGTGACAGTTGGTGCTGTTTCATGTTGCATATTGGGACATTTTGTTCTTCCCTCTTCTGCCAAAACTGCATCTTCCCTGAAGGAGCAGGAGCCTGCGTATGCACTCCAGAGAAGCCGTGCTTTGACAACAAGCCCAGCTCCCATCAGAAAAATGTGTCTGCTGGGTTACAGCTATTTCTCCACGTTGCAAGTACCCCAAGTCTCTCTCTGCTTTCTGCAGTAGTGGCTTTTCTGCTGTTTCAATTACTGGTTGCTCTTGTAGCTTGGCTGGGGGCTTTCATCCATGCTCAGGAGAGAAGGAGGTTGCCCCTGTTCCCCCATACCAGGGTACACAGCTCCTGCTCCTGTGGCCACCTCTCTTGCGGGAGAGCAGAAGAGAGTGTCTGGGCAGCAGGGGAATCACAGAATCACAGGATGGTTTGAGTGGGAAGGGACCTTAAAGCTCATCCAGTTCCAACCCCCTGCCATGGGCAGGAGCACCTTCCACTAGACCAGGCTGCTCCAAGCCCTGTTCGACCTGGCCTTGAACACTGCCAGGGGATGGGGCAGCCACAGCTTCTCTGGGCAACCTATGCCAGTGCCTCACCACCCTCATAGTAAAGAGCATCTTCCTAATATCTAATTCAAATCTACTTTAAATCTACCCACTTTCAGTTAAAGCCATTCCCTCTTGTCCTATCACTATCTGTCTTTGTAAAAGTTAGCTCTCCAGATTTCTTGTCAGCCTCTTTACACAGTGGAAGGCTGCTCAAAGATCTCCCTGGAGCTTTCTCTTCTCCAGGCTGAACAAGCCCAACTTGCAGCCTATCTTCACAGTAAAGGTGTTCCAACCCTCTGATTATCTTCATAGTGTTCCTCTGGGCGTGCTCAAGCAGGTCCGTGTTCCTCTTGTGTTTGTGCCCCGGAGCTGGATGCTGTACTGCAGATGGGTTCTCACTAGAACAAAGTAGAGTGGGGAAATTACTGCTGGCCACCTTCCTTTTTTGACTGGGAGGATACAGTTGCCTTTCTGGGCTGCAGGCGCACACTGCTGGCTCATGCTGAGCTTCTCCCCAACCAGCACATCAAAGTCCTCAGGGCTGCTCTCAATCCGTTTTCCACCCAGGCCGTGTTTGTGCTTGGGATTGCCCCGACCCACATGCGGGACCTTGCACTTTGCATTGTTATACTTCATGAGGTTGGCGTTAGCCCGCCTCTCCAACCTGTCAAGGTTCCTCTAGATGGCATCCCTTCCAGCCAGCGTACCAACCGATCCACACAGCTTGGTGTCATCTGCAGACGTGCTCAGGGCATACTCATTCCCACTGCCCGTGCCGCTGACAAAGATGTCGAGCAGCGCCAGTCCCAATAAACAGAAGCAGCAAACTCTGAAATGGAGCAGATGGGCTTTCCCCCGGGACTGCCACACACCGCGCCACGAACGGGGTGGTCCCTCCGTGTCCCCGCCTATGGCTCTGCCCGGCCATGGGGCGGGACGGGTTCACAAGTGTGTGCGGTGGGACCGCGGCTCCGTGCGCTCCGTCGGGTGCTCCGCTCCGCACAGCTCCGCGCTGCTCTGCGGGATGGGCCGGGACCACCGCGGGCGGCTCCCGGTTCTGCGGCTGCTGCTGGTGCTGCCGCTGCTGTGCGGGGCGGCGGGGCTGGGGCGCGGCTGCGCTCCCCGGCTGCTCCGCTTCTCCGGGCAGGTGCCCGAGAACAGCCCGGCAGGGACGCGGGTGCGGGGCTTGCGGATGCCGCTGCGGCGGCTGCTGGGCCCTGGGGAGCCCGCTGGGGAGTGGGCGCTGGAGGGCGGCGGCGCCTGCCGCTTCTTCCTGCAGCGGCGGGCGGGGGGCGGGCGGGGGCTGCTGCTGCTCCGCACGGCCGAGCGCCTGGACCGGGAGGCGCAGCCCGCGTACGGGCTCCGGCTGCGCCGGCGGGCGGGACGGTGCCAGCGGCAGGCGCTGCTGCGGGTCCGGATACTGGACCGCAACGACCACCGGCCGCGCCTGCACCCTGCCCGGCCGCGGGAGGTGGAGGAGCTGGCCCCGCTGGGCACGGAGGTGGCCCGGCTCCGCGCCTCCGACGGCGACGAGGGCTCCAACGCGCGCCTCACGTACGGGCCCTGGCCGCCGGGCGCCGGCAGCCGCCTGCTCTTCGTGGTGCCCCGCAGCGGGCAGGTGCTGACCGTGGGCTCGCTGCTGGGGCTGCGCCGCCTGCGCCTTTGCGTCGCGGCTCACGACCACGGCCGCCCGCGGCCGCTGCGCAGCCCCGCGCGGTGCCTGCGCCTCGCCGTGCGCGGCCGGCGGCCGGAGGGCGGCGGGAAGCGGCGGTGGGGGCGTTCGGTGCCGCTGCCCGAGCGGCCGCCAGGACCCGGCTCTCGGCGCTACACGGCCCGGCTGGCCCCCGGGGCGCGGGTGGGCGACGCCGTCTTCACCGTCCCGCGGAGCCTTGACCGGGCGGCGGGCGGCTGGTTCGAGCTGGCTTCGCCCGGCGCAACCCCCGTGGCTGTCGACAGGGCGTCGGGGCGGCTCTACCTGCGGCGGGAGCTGCGAGCCGGAGGCCGGGCGGAGGTGCTCGTCAAGGTGCACCGCGGCGGCGGAAGAGGTAGGGGAACGGGAATGGGACCGCATCTCCCCTGGGTGAAGACGGGCGGGGAAGGAGGGGGGGACGCTGAGCGGGCATGGCCGTGCCGCTTGTCACCGGGGAGGTGCGGCAGCGGTGGGATGTGGGGAGCCGCGGGGGCTGCCCCCAGTCTGGCCTGGGCGGTGTGGGGATGTGCCGGATCTTCTCCGGTCCCACCTGCTGCTATTCCGCCTCCTGACTTCAGAGGAGCAGGTGAAAACGTGGGCAATGGTGCTTTAGTTATGTTGTCTTCCAAGAATTCTTGTCGCAGCAGGTTTGTAGGACCAGGGGAATTTGCTCATGAGTTAAGAAGCAGTTAAAACGTGTTGAAGGAGGAGGTACAGCACAACCGAGAGCTTGTCTTATAGCAGGGGGAGTTACCAGAGAGCCTCTTCTGTTTACCGTGGTCCACCATGACCTGGTCAGGGAGAGGTGCCACTGCCCTAGGAGTGGGCGCTTACAAGTCTTCAGAGACAGCCCATGGGGCTTGGACACCCCTCTGCGACTGGAATGATGCTGGAGGTCAGATACAGCATTGGCAAAGCGGTGCACAGGAAGGAAAAGAAGAGGTTGCAAAAGAGATGTCAGTGAGCTTAGAACAAACAAAACCTAAAACCTTTGTGAATCTGGACTCCTAGGAGTTGTGTATGGTTGATGTAAAGCCTCAATACTACAACAGCTTGTGTACCATATGTGGTTCTAGTGACACAGCCAAGAGAACGTGTTAAGCCTGAAGTGCTTTACAGCTACAAGTGCCATCCTTTCCATTTGTTACTTGTATCTTACTCAGAGCAGTTTTATTGTGTTTGTAATTGCAGCTCAGGTCTCTGACAATGGTACTGGTTATCATGCTTCTTCTTGGGGTTTCTTTGATTCTTTTCTTATATGTTTACAACTTCACTACAGAGGGAATATTTACAGGTTCCTGTAGATGGTTTTTACAGTCTGATGCTCAGGAAATGTGAACCAGAGCTGGGAGGAAAGCAAATGTGTGGACGCGTGCTGGGGGCTGTGATCTTTGCTGCTGTGCACCATGTGCAGTCTGAGAATCCCAGAACTGCCTGCTGAGAAACATATTCTTTCAGGAATGGGCTGTGTTGTACAAGTGAGAAACATCAAACCACAATAAAACCACCACACAGGATTTCTAGGTACCAGCTTTAAATCCCTCACCTGAGGTTGAAAGTAGAACTTCTCATTCAAGGTAAAGATGAAGATGGAAAGGTAATGTGTCGCTTGACCATCTCATTTATAATCAAAGCAAATAACCTTGTGAGCAGTGTTGTGCAGATGATCAGCCGTGTTGTCCTCTCCAGTCTGGTGCTATATAGCATGTGTTTACCACTGCCTATGCACTGATAATGTATTGACAAGAGATGAGCCTCAGGGGGAAACGAATTCGATAATCAAGTGGGACAAGGTCATTTAGACACTCCTTTAGACTACTTTGAGAATCAAAACTACCTCATAGCTTTGTATAGTAATGAACTTGGGATCTTTTCCTGGCTGCTTACTTTACAGGAAGATGATGAAATGGTGGGAAGCTTTGAGCATCCATTTTTTTTAGCTGAAGAAAACCAGTGAACTGTCTAAACCCAAACAGAATTAACTTTAGTCTGCTCCTCATTTCTCATCGTGCCTCTTACTAAATATAATTAACAGTGGGGCACATAGTAATCAATATCGTGGAACATGTGCCAAACTTAATCTTCTCATTAACTGAAAAACAAAACTGTTGGACCCTTATTAATTGCCATCTCTTATGTAAGTTGTGAATGGACTTGGAGGTTTCACAGATGCTGCTTCTCCAGTGATGTGTGTCTTCTTTCTCTTATTTTTCAAGAAAAGCAAAGCTTTTGTGGCACTTCAAATTAAATGTATATACATATATATATATATATATATATAAAAGGAGGTTGAATAGTAACTTAGAGCACTGTTTCTTGCAGTAGTAGTCCTAGGGAGACAAGGTATTCATGTGCATGGTTGAAATAAACTGAGTGTAGGATATGACAACCTAATGAATCTTACCTGTTGCTCAGTAGTACTCTGAGCAGCGATGTGTATGTGGCTGTGCCTGTTCTGTGGGGACACTGTAGCTGGCATTGTGAATATGCAGTTCTTCTCCCACTGAATATACTTGGTTCAATCACAGTGCATAGCAAAGAGGTTTGAACAACTTCTGTTGTCTTTTTTCCCTGCAGAGAGCAGTTAACATCTTCCTTAGAAATCTGGCAGATTGCCTCCATGTCTGAAAGCTTTGCTGTTCTGGGCTCTGCAGTAGTCTTGGGATTGCGACCTGGAGCTCAGACACGAATCTTATACAAAGATAAGATCACACACCTGCCATTTGCTCATCCAAATTTCATTTTTGGGACATTTAACATTCTGGAAACACCGACTACACCATCAGAACAGCATGAGCCTGAGCGTGGAAGGGCTGGGGGTGGTGGGGAAGGGTTGAAAGGTTGTAGCTCCCTTTCCCTTTCAGGCCTGCCTACAAGCACCTATGTAGGTTCTCATGCTTGTTACTGACTTACACAGGGTGGGACATGTACAGTTGCAGGACTTAGAACAGTCCTTTCTGGTGCTGGCAATATATATTGGTGCACACTGTAGGAGCTTTACGTTTAGGGCTTCATCTACCATGTTTCAGCAAGTGAAGGAGCACAATTTCTTACCTCTGATCTTTGATTCAAGCAGACTTTCAGCTCTGTTTTGTTGTTTTGTTTTGTTTTTTTTTAATCTTAAAAGCCTGCCACAAAGGGCTTATACAGCACACACTGCGTTGGCTTGGAATAGGGAGACCTGCTTGGTGATTTCCATGGTCCTGCACACACCAACACTGCAGATACAGCCCACATGCTATCAAACTGAAAACGGCCGTAGTAGGAAGTCATTCCATGATCTACAAAGGTTATTTTTCTTTAACAACAAGAGAGACTCAATAATGCACAGCAAGACAAATTGCTTCTCCTCCTGCATGTTTGCAGTGCTCTGAAGAGTAAGCTTGAGGTCAGCAACCCTTAAATATGGGATACCTCAAGCTGTCACAGTGAGGTAAACTCCAGCAGTTACTTTGACTTAAATGAATAAAATGGTTGCAAGGCTGTTTAGTATTTTCATGTTTTGGAAGTGAGAGGGATCTCTCATCCCTTGTTCTCTTTCAGGTAGGATAACAGCTACTTACCACTGTAACTGAATTCCAAGGAGAAAGATCTTAAATCTGACTGAGGCAGCTGTAGCATAACACTGTTCCTCAGCTGTAGTGTCTTCTGGTGGAATATGATTGGTATTGAACCCTTATGACTCACTGGAAACAAACTGGTTTTTAAAGAGGCATCTGCCAAGTCTTGAAATTCCTGAAAATACAATCCAGACTGTGCACAAAAAGGTTACGTGGTTTGAGTCCCTTGCACCTTCTTAAGACATGTCCAACAGGATACCTACTGAGGATGGAAAACCTTTCAACCCACCTAACAAGTAACCCATATATGTTGCTGGCTATGATTTCAAATCAAGATACAGCTTAGGTATTTTTTGTGGAGCCCATTTCTTCCTGGCATCGCCCAACGCTTTTAGAGCAAAATAAGTCCAACTTTAGAAATACTAAATCTGACCTGGCAATCAGATTTGGAGGTCACGCTATAATCTGTGCCTTTTTCTCCTCCTGATACCAGGTTGATTAAGACCATGTGTGGGTACCATCACTATGCCTTCAAACTCAGGTGCTGGCAGAGAAAAAGCTTACTTCACTTAAACTGTGAAATCAGTTTAATGGGCAGGGATCTTTAGACAAAAGAGCAAGCTCCAGGATGAAGGTTACTGTGTTCCCCTGTCTGTGTGCTTTTGAAAGAATCTTACTGTAAAAAAAAAAAAAAGGTGTAAAAATCTATAGTGACCCAGAGGCCATAAAGAAGTGAGAATGTGTGATAAAGGCTAGAGCTGGGAAACAACAAAATGCTTAAAAACTGAAGAGGAAAATGTAAAGTTTATGTTACAAGTATTCTTAGTAAGGTATATAAGAAGCTATTTAAATTATAACACTGGTGAGTAGCTTCTGAGCATGTTTCAGTGCAGGCATTAGTGTTTCCTTGCTAGAGCAGTCAGACCCATTGCTCTGTATATTGAGATGTTGCCCGAGTAAACAAACACAATATCTATATATATATTCCCAACACAAACTAGTTTAAACTTAATAAGTGCCATGTTAATGAGGATAAGGAGGTGCTGTATTGTGTGAGACAACAGGAAGGCAGAGGTCAGAATTGGGAACTTGGCTCTTCAAAGGATGTTGTGTTGTTGGATTTCCTTAATGATGCTACCCTTGATTTTAATTAATTTCATTATATTTTCCTTAAGAAAATTTTTAGGATTCCCCCTAGAATTTGTGACTGTACAGTTTGAGCCTCTTTTTTGTTGGCAGACAAGGGACCTTGCAGGCAATTTCCCTTCTGTGAGTGAAGCCTTGTTTCTGTTACTGGGGTGTGCTGTGCCACACAAACATCTATTTTCTCCATATGCTTTAACTGTCTCCTGAAATACAGACCGGACAGGGGAAGATGGAAGCTGTGGGGGGTGCAAACAAGCCCAAAAAAGCTCTCCTTCCTATCAACAGTAAAAGCTATGTGGCCTGTGAAGAGAACCAACTTTTAAATGCCAAGGCTGTAGCTGTGTCTTGCTACACTTTCTTTTAAGGGTTGTGGCAAACACGCTACTTCTGTAACCACAGGTCTGAGCCTGCTTCCCAGCCTTCCGCTGGGTACCTACAGAAGAAAGGAAGCATTTTAAAATCTAGAGGATGACACCACAGCCAGGCTTTTAAGGCTGGGGCAGGGTGATGCAGCTGCAGTAAAGTTATGATGGATTTTGGAGTTCTGTTTCTGTGTCTGCCCAAAGCTGTTCCTTGTGGTGAATGGAATGGGCACCTGCCCGTGGAGATGTCTTTGCTGCACAGCAAATGCCATGGGTGTCTCAGATACCCAGTGTGATGGAGGTACCAGCTGTAGCTTTGCGTTCACACAGAAAGCAGAAAGCTGGCTGAGGTGGCTTTGCCTGCAGTAGCACCTGCAGTGGCCTGTTAACTCCAACTGTCCCACTGGGTAAGTCTGCAGGTAGTTTTGAGGTAAGCAAGACCTTGTCTCCTAAAATCGGAGAACTGGTGTATGTGTAGAAAACACATCCAAGTGCTGCTGTGTATTAAGAAATATGCCATGGAAATAATGCAAAGTGATCTCTGCAGGCTGGTCTCTCAAGCTCGCTGGTTGTGGTTAACCAAGGAAGGAAAACTGAAACCCACTGACATAGCTTTAGGCAGTTG